ATACAATACAATACAAACAATTTTAGTAATTTATCACATTCTCTTAAAATACAACAAATTATCTCCTTCTTTCCATATCTCAAATATTATCTAAAAACAAATCCTTGATGTCTCCTGGTTCAATACTGGTCAGCAAAAAGTCTATTAAGAGTTATCAGAGATATCAACATACATATTTTAACCTTGATCAAATAAACAGCCTTTATATTCCTTCTTTTTATTACCTCATTAGCCTATTTTCTAGATCAGATCCTATGACTGATATGATGAGTCAAGGTCATACTTTAAAACATTTGAAGATAGAGCTTGTATGGGTTCCATGTTTGCTTGCTTTATGCTATGCTAAAATACTAGGTGAATGCTGTGTCTCACCCTTGTGCCCTGCCAAGTTGTCACATTTGTTTAATTAATTTAAGCTATTTTTATTCCAGGTTGCAGCAGGTCTGGATAACACAATTATGTATTAGAACTATTAGTCAAAGCCTGATAATAGGTACATCTTCCCAATTTACTGTGAATTTCAGAATGGGGAGGGAATTTAAAAGCAAGAGATTTTGTAAGTGAGGCTGGAAGGATGGATCTGAAGGGCATACATAAATACATGCATACATACATACATGTATGTATGTATACACACACACACACACAGAGTACCAGGGCAAGCATAGGTTGATAGCCCATTAATATACTGTAATACTAAAGGAAGATACATTATTGTGAATGTGAAGAAAAAAAATACAAGAGCCCTAACAATAAGGAGGATCTATGGTATTGGATACCTGGTAATTAGCAGTAAAGTATGCTGTTCTTCCCACCCACCCCATTGTTCAAGGTCTTTGTTTCCAAATTCTGTTATGTTAGCATATAGCTTTTCCTTCACAATTACTGTAAAAATTACGAGATTAAATTTCCCCTTCTCCCATCTCAGAACACTAAAACTAGCTACATACGGTACATTGTAGTAAACAATCTGGGAAAAAACTGTTTCTCAGTAGCAGTCAAGGCTACTATTGAACTACTATATTACTGCTTAACAATGCATGTGTGCTGATATATTTATTTATTTACTTCCTTTTTCCCCCCAGGGTTGGCTGTGTGAGTTGTTGCGTTGGAAAGAAAACCCAAGCCCTGAAAATCGAACACTTTGGGAAAATCTGTGCACCATTCGGCGATTCTTGAATCTTCCCCAACATGAGAGGGATCTCATCTATGAAGAAGAATCTCGGCATCATCACAGCGAACGTATGCAGCATGTTGTCCAGCTTACTCCTGAGCCTGTACAGGTCAGTGCTTTGGTTATCCAATTTAAATGTTTGTTTTGCTCTATTTTATGTATTTCAATTGACTTCTATTCCATCTGGTACCTGGAAACTCAAGAGAAGCCAACGTAATATTCTTTTCTTCAGTTTCCCCCTTCACCAACAAATGCAGTTTAATCTAATGATGTAGATCAGTGGTTCCCAAACTTGGCAACTTTAAGACTTGTGGACTTCAACTCCCAGAATTCTCCAGCCAGCTGGCTGGAGAATTCTGGGAGTTG